AATTCAGCGGACTAAAGTGCCTGCTTAGGCAGAGCGCATTCAATCCCCAGTACCACAAGCCATGTCAGCCCTGCCACCGGGGCGTGCTGTGACAGGGATCGAGACTGGCTATGGTGACTCGCACCTGTAATCCCAGCACTTGGGAGGCTGAAAACAGGAGGATCCTTACAAGTCCGATCTGTGTAGTGAGACCCTGTAGACCCTCCACTAAATATATAATAAAATAAAATAAATTATTATTGTTTTATTTCTCCCAAACAGAATTTATTGTATCTCTTCTGTGTTCCCTGACCTTCTTATTATTTACTGCTTGCTTCAATATCCTGATGGATGGCTGCTGAAAAGCAAACAGCACTCAGTTTTCCTATGTGGAAATATATTTAAAAGGAGATGGACCCAGATACTTTAACTAACTCCTACTATTGAGAAAATAGACTTACTTAGGAAATTCCTAAATATAGTAATGATCTATTTTCATTTGGTTTTGTTGGAGAATAAAATGTTCTTCATCATCTGTGTTTTTTCCACATGACTAATCTTGTCTTTTCAAATGCCAGATATATATATATATATTTTTTGATGGATTTTTGAAGTGGCTTTTTTGTTTTCTTAAGTAATAAATCCAACAAAATCTTTCTGTTTTGACTCAGAATCATCTTGATGAATGCCTGTGATTTTACTATTGAACAGCTTACATTTGTCTCCTACCTGGCATTTCAGTTTCTTAGATATACCATCCACTGTCATTTTTCTTTCTATAGATTTTCTTCTAAGATAGACACCTCTTTCCTTATAATAATTATATTTATACTTTCTGTTGGATATGAAACCATGGATTGCTTACTCTATGCACATAAAATAAAAATAAATAGCATGTGAAAGGAATAAAAATATAAGACTCAGTGAGTTGTTTTATTATTTTTTGATTCAAAAAGCATTGTCTTATCATTTCCAAATTACAGAGAGTATTTTGGAGGCACCGGGGCTGCTAAGCACAGGATCTCTGGATGGAAGAATGTTACCTGGTTCTGAAATTATATCATCATTTTAGGGTGCTTTACACCAAAAAACTCAATCCTGTTTTATAACATGCTTTTCATCTTGCTAACATTGTGAAGTAGTTTTGGTCAAAAGCAAATTATGCTCTAAAGAATTCGTTTTATTTTTAAGGGATGTTAGTGATTCCACTGCTTCAGGGTTTGAGGTGAAGTAGCCCTGTGAGCACACTGGTCTTCACAAAGCGGCACTAGGTTGTTCGCGTAACAGCAGTTGTTTTGGAGGTGGATTTTTATATCCGAGTTTGCTTGTGTCCAGAGTATCCAAATAAAAAATAAACTAGAATTTTTTTTTGCTAGGTTTGTTGTTGAACTTTAGCTGTGTGGGTGAAGTGAATAACAGATTAATTAGTTTTTATATTGCTAAGAAACATAATGTTGCTGAGCCATCTGGCGTGGCATTATCGGGAGGGTGATCTTACTGGGTTCCTCATTAAATTCTTTCAGTGTTCTGAAACTGTCATTGGTCTTCCAGGTTCATATTAAATGAGGGTGAATTTGAGATGTAGAAGTGGTGGGATCCCAAAGTGCGGCTCCATGCTTACCACTAACAATAAACAAATCAACCTTGAAAGTGTGACCCCGAGCTAAACTAACATCCCTGTGTGACTTTTATGTCATTGATATCATTATTATTTTTTCCACTCCAACATACCTACAGTTTCCTCACTTCACAGATTTACAGGGATTTTTTTTTTGACAAAATCAATATGAGTGTCAACATTGTTCTGGAGGAGCAAATTGCTCACAATCACAACACAAAATAATTAGTTTGGCATCTTTCCATGCAGTGCTATGTTTTTCATATTCTTGATGGGACATTTACTCATAAATTTACTTGTTCTTTCATTAAACAATATTGACTCAGTAGTTTCTTTTTTATTGACAAGTGTCAAAAGTATAGGCTTCTTAAATTCAAGTATGAAGAATGTAGGCTTAGCTAAAACATAAAAATCACTTCAACTTCCTGATTTTTCATGTTTATTTGTCCCTAAAGCTGAGTCTCCTGGAGATCTTTTAATGGAAGCTATAACATTTGTACTCTCCATCACTCTTAAGTTGTTCTTTGTCTAAGGACTTTGCAAACATTTTATAGGCCTCGTTAGAAGACCAGTCTTCTTAAATATTAAGTCAAATGGTTTGACTTTCTGAACATATGAATGTATGTGTTACTTAGAAACTAAATTTAGAGGCTGAAGAGAGATCTCAGAGGCGTAAGCCCCTACCTGGCAGGCACAAGGACCTGAGTTCATTTTCTGGCCCCACATGGCCCTGAGGTCTCAGCCCCTCCCTCCCCAGACGTGCTGTCTTTGCCCAGGATGTGGGTGCCCACAGTGCAACCCCGTGGTGGCACACTCTTGTAATCCCAGCACTAGGGAGGTTTAGCCAGGAGAATCTCTGCAAGTTTGAGACCAGCCTGAGGGCAACAAAAGTAAGCACAAGGCCAGCCCAAACTGTATAGTAAGACCCTGTCTTGGGGAAAAAAAAAAAGAAAGAAAATAAAAGAAAGAAATTAAATTTAAATCTTATAAAAAAAATATATCCCTGCCAATATAGCTCTCCTGAACTAAAGACAGAATGCAGAATTATCAAAACAAAATTTCTTTGTATTAAAATTATGGAGTTCATGTATCTTTTGGAGGGAGAAAAAAAGAATATATATAATCAAGTCAAACAAAACATAAAATATTTACCTCAGCAGTGGAAGTAGAGATTACTCACCAATATGTTCTTTCTGTTTTTCACCAACAAGGACTTTTTGATGCCTAATTCTGACACATGACAAAGAACCTGTATGTGTACTCTTGTCCTTGTCCCTGCAGGTATGTGAGTTATGGTAGAGTTAGTGTCTAAAGAGATCCACTGACGAAGCATCTACAAACTCTGGTACAGGGTTTCAGGATAAATCCTGAGGGGATTTGACTGACCTTGTCAGATACAAAAGTAACATTTCTTGTTATATAGGTCTTGTTTTATCTTGGTCTTAACCATCCAGCAGAAAAGTATAAAAACAAAGTATAAAAAGTAAAGCTGTATTAATATGTTGAGCTGTAAAAGGCTCAAGTCAACAACTTCTGACATTGCCAGTCTTACGGAAAATCCACTACTATTATGGACTACTGGACTATATTGGAATATTTTGCTGAATTCACGCACCTAACAATATTTAAATGACAATGGAATACCCTTCTCTGACAAAACTAAACAAAAAAAGGGGATACAAATGAACAACCATTTTGTATCTGTATATTCAAAATAGTTACGTTAGATACACAGCTACATTCTCTTAATTCACTGAATAGAAAGATTTGTTCTAATAGTGTCATGTGGACAGGATATCATGTCTGCATCTTGTACAGTGAATAACCACTAAGACAACAATATGCAATGTATTATTAATTATTGAAACTGTCCTACTAATTGGTTTTGAAACTGTCGCATTGCTATTTGTTTCTCAATAAAATTATTTTTTAAAAAATAAAATAAAATAAAGAGATCCAGGCCCTCAAAAACCATTTGAATACATATTAGCTTCTAATTGTTTTTCTCCAGCCTTGCAGTTTCACTGCATTTTTTTGATTCTCATTAGAACTTTAGCATCCAATTGGCTTTTTGTTGTTGTAGTTTGTTTTATTTTCGCTGCATTCTTTCCTATGCTTAGAGTTCAGAAGTTTTTTTATTAGTTTTCTGAGCAACTGAGTTTCCCATTTATTTACCTGCAATCTGTAACCTTCCTCATGTGACATATCTTTCAACTCCTGCTTGTAAGTGTGCTGATACTCTTCTCTCTGGAATTGTGATAAGATTCCTAGAGTTCAAGAACCATTTGAGCTACTTTGTAGGAAACAAAATTACATCTACAAATGAACTCTAAATAAAGATACTTAAATAAATTTATTATTTGTCGTATTTTCTATTTACATACATTTTATGTTGGACTAGAGTACTATTGAACTAGTTCTGTATTTCTAGACTTTGGTTAGGAAACATTGTATTATTTCTGCTCAAATATAGTAATAATTTTATTGACCAAAATTTATTAGCCCTTTTCTTTAGAAGAAATTGTTGCCCATGATGTAGAGTATGAGGATTGCAGTATTGTGCTCTGAACATAGCTGTAAAGTAAACTTCTTGCTAGTCCATTTCTAAGTCCTGTCTATATGGTAGGACCCATCCTCGATATTCACAGGACCACAGCCCCACAGTGCAGCACAGATGGTCCTGCCTTAACAGTCCCTGCTGACATCATAGAACAGTGATCCATGAGCCACAGAAAACTTGCAGATTGCATTAGATATTCATGACTACAAGGAATGAAGTGAAGCGAGTGAAACACTTAAAGGTTTCACAAGCCAAACAGTTGTTTGTGGGAGAAAAACAACACAAAACAATCACATGGCTCTTCTATAATAAGTGATCCAGAGACTGGGCATGGTGGCACGTGCCTGTAATCCCAGCTCTTGGGAGGCTGTAAACAGGCGGGTCACTATGAGTCTGATCTAGTAGTAAGACCCTGAACACCCTGTAAAAATAAAAAAATAAAAATAAAAATAGAAAAATAAGTGATCCCGATTTGAAGATTGAGTAGAATCCTCTTTGTCAGTGTTCTTGAACTTTGTCTCGGCATGGGCTGGTGCTCATGGTGTCAGGCAGGTCATTGTATCGTCATTGTGACTGCCCGGATCCGTCTTAGTACCATTTGTGAAAGAGCTGGAAAAAGAAAGAAAGAAAGAAAGAAAGAAAGAAAGAAAGAAAGAAAGAAAGAAAGAAAGAAAGAAAGAAAGAAAGAAATCTAAAGCCAGGCATAGATATCAAGAATTTGGATTAAGATTGTGGTCCAAAAGAACCTGACAATGTGACGGTATTGTAGGTGAACAGTAAAACTTTCAAAATAACATTTAAAGCTCTCGTATGTTCTTTCCCCCCTCGGCTCTCCTGGCACAGTGGAGGCGCTGCATCTGGGAACGCTAATGGCTGCCCACGGCTACTTCTTCCCCATCTCCGATCACGTCCTCACGCTCAAGGATGATGGCACTTTTTACCGATTTCAAGTAAGTTGAAAGGAACCTATTTTGTAACAGAAAACTAGATGCCAACTTCTTGTTGGTTATGTTTCATAAAATTTTTGGAAACATTGACTTAGTCTAATTAGAAACTAATATCAAACTTAAAAGTATAAATAATAAACCGTGAAAAATTACTGTGTTCAGTGAAGTTGATTTATGAAAGCCAAGTTGTGTAAGGATTGACATTTCTATAGAAGACTTGAAAAAATTCAAAAAGGGACTTAGTAGAATTTAGGAAGTTTATATCTATCTAGAAGGAAGAAGCTGAGAGATGAAAGTAAATGGATTATTGTCTGGTCCCTGCCTGGGATGCAAAACTGTCTTCACTCCTAGAATCCTGTCATGAGAATGCTGGAAGATACAAAGTAGAATTTAGCTAAATGTGAAAATCCTAGACTTGTCCAGGTCAAGGCCCCTTTCTACCTCTGGGGAGGCTGATATGCCCGTACGTTGCGTGTACACTGACCAGGGCAGGAGGACACCTTAGATGATGTGTGAAGTGGCAGGAGTCATTCAAGGTCATCCCCACGAGACCGATGTAGTCATCCTCTGAGGAAATGGCTGGGGAGTGATTTCAGTGATTTTGGATGCAGTGTGCATTTGCATTCACAATGATTTACCTGAGTGTGTGCTGCATTTCATTAAATGTGATTCATTCATAACTGACAGAGGACTCGAGCCTAGACAATTAAGGCACATAGACTGCTAGCACTAAAATTCTAGCATGCTGAAGGCATTTTCTGTTAATTCTCCTGATCATTCAGCTTTCACAGATTAGACCATTTTTCTCACTTGTTCTGGATATTATTAAATGCTTTAAGCAAGACGGAATAGGAATTTGAATCACTAAAATTTACTTGGGAAAGGTATAACAGAAAGGAAATGTGTGTCAAAATTGTTTTCAAAGACATTTGGCTTCCTAAAACAGTTGATCATTTTCATTGGACAATTTTATCTCAAAGCAAAAGAAATCATAGGACACTTTCGCCTTGAATTTTTTGGAGTTAAAGCAATCTCCAGAAACTGCAGTAATATTCAAGTACAAAACTTTAGTTAAACTTGTAGTTCAAAAAGCTTTTAAAATAGTACAGTTTTAGTATTTACATGGTCACTTAAAACAGTGTATCATTAAGTTAAGGTAGCATGAATTCCTAGGGTTTAACTTTTTTTTTTTTTTTTTTTTTTTTTTGCGGAACCGGGGATTGAACTCAGGCCTTTGTGCTTGCCAGTGAAGCGCTTATTCCACTGGGCCATCTCCCCGGCCCTATAGGGTTTAACATTTTAATACATAAGTATTAGTAATTAGCATATACATTGTTGATAAGTAAGCATACATAAACTACTTAATTGGTTTTTTTTTCTTCACTTTTTGATATCGGGGATTGAACTCAGGACCATGCACTTATGCCACTGAGCCATCTCCCTGCCCTGAACTACTTAATTTTTAAAGATTTTTATTTATT